ATATATATATATATATATATATACACACACACACATATACATATATATATATATGTGCGGTGAATATATATACATATCCCCCCATTTGAGTTCCTGGCTCCCCTGATACAGTTTTAGAAACTGGTAATGATTTAGAGGGGGAGGAAAGGGTCATCAGATTATTTTAATTCAACAAACCAAGATGAAGAGAATTCATTAAATCAACTATTATATTTAAAACAGTTGCCCCCCCCCCACATACACACACACTTAAATTTCTCAGAAGTAACACAGGCTGAGCAGTTTTACCTTTCACTGAGATCGATGTGGCTTAAAAGAAAAGTAGATCCAAAATGATCTTACTGAAATGTTCTTCTAAAAGCCCAACTAAAAGTAACTTTGCAGACATGGGACAAAAGTTTTGTTTATTTACTTTTCCTGAGCTTTGCTGATGCAATTGGGGTATAGGTTTTGCTTACTCAAGGAGTTCAGGATAAGCAAATGCTTTGTTAAAAAGCGATAGATCTTTCATAATGGAAGAGAAAGGGAGACTGCTGACACTTCTAATCTAATCTGGGCTGATAATGGCTTCAGGTAGGCCAAGCACTTTGTCTCTGGATTTCCAACATGTAAATGGGGAAAGTTCTGGTAGATAGTGGGTAGACATGGACACTGTCATTGGTGTAAGCATGAATCTTTTCAAGACAGAGATTCACTCTGTAAATCAGGATGCCATTTATGAAAGAGTTGGGTGTGCTTGTCAAGATTCTTATAATCGTAAGCGTCGGACAAGCACAGTTTTATTGAGCTGTAATGCATGCCGGAAGATAGAAGTCCCACACTAGCAACTGGAAACCCGTCGCTGGGTGCCTCACAGCCAAAGGCATGACTCTAGCATCACGGTTAAGAACATGGATTCTGGAGCGTGGCTGCATGCCCTGCCAATTAGTAACCTTCTAACCTTAGGTAGTTTCCTTAACCTTTCTACGCCTGATTTTTCTTATCTATAAAAGCAGGGATAAAATTAGGGTTGTGAAAATTTAACGAGAGCGTATAAAGAATGTTGAGCAGGGCGCTCCACCCAGTCTTAGTTAAGTTGTCCGAGTCTGTTCGGGCTGCTATAACGAGCTTCCATGGACTGGGTGGCTTATAAACAGCAGGTATTTATTTGTCACAGTTCTGAGTGCTGGAAGCCTGAAAATAGGGGACCAGCCTGGTTGGGTTCTGATGAGGGCCCTCCTCCTGTTGCAGACTGCTTACTTCCCCTGAGTCCTCACATCGGGGAGACAGAGGGGACCTCTCCTGGAGCTCTTTTATTAGGGCATTAATCCCTAGCGTGAGGGCTCCACCCTCGTGATCTCAGCACCTCCCAAAGGCCCCGTCTCCTAATACCAACACCCTGGGGTAGAATTTCAGCCTACGAATTTGGGGGGAGGGACACATTCAGTCCATAGCACAAGTGGTAGCTTTTTCTGTGTGTGGGAGAACCAGCTCCTCACTTCTACAGGGTTCTGAAGATGGCGAAGTGCCTCACTACCTAAGGGTTGTTAATACCACATCATTTGGACTTGTTACCCACTTTCTTTGTATACTGTGTTTCAGGGAACTGTTTTATATTCTTGCATCATGAAGTGCATTTGGTTTTCTGAATCAGAGTATCTGCTCCTAATAGGAATTGGATGGGCTACAGCCATAGGTGTTGAGGCCTAGCAGGCTTGGGGTCACATTTGTCCTTGAACACCAGTCTCACCTAAATTTGTTATTTAGCGCCTTGAGAGTTGCTTTGCCTTTTCTTCTTTCATTCATCCTTCTGCTAGTAAAACGGTCTTGCCGATCCTTTTAGAAGGTTGTTCCCCGAAGAAAATTAGATGTGTATTTCTGCAAAAAAAAAAAAAAGATCCATTGTGTATTACTGTGTTTGCAAAGGGTATTTTAAAGATGTATTTACTTTTAGAGAAAGAGCGAGAGCATGCAGGGGGAGGGGCAGAAGGAGAGGAGAGAGAGAATCTCAAGCAGGCCCCACGCCCAGTGAAGAGCCCCATGTGGGGCTTGATCCCACGACCCTGAGAGCATGACCTAAGGCAAAACCAAGAGTCGGACACTTAACCAACTGGAGCCACCCAGGTGCCCTGGCAAAGGGTATTTTAGAACTTTTTATTGAAATAGAACATACTTACAGAAAATAGAATATGCTTACACTCCTAAGTGTATGAGTTCTCACAAAGTGAACATATGCACACATCCAGCACCTAGACTGAGAAACAGAACATAACCATCATCCAAGAGCCCCCCTTGTCCCCCTCCCAGAAACTACACGCCCAAGTATAACCACTCTCCCAAGGAGTCTTGTTGAGTTCAGCCATTTTCACAGGTTTTGTGATGAGGAGCATGCACTGTGACCCCGGAGAGGTGACAGGGCTGTTAGCCCACCTGGATCCAGGGGAACTTGTGTTTTTGATATGAAGGCGGGGTTCAGGGGGTTCGAGAGAATTGGAGAGTTTAATAGCACCGTTACATGAAAAGCAAGTTCCATAGGTTCTAGAAAGGGAGAGGAGGCAGAAACATCCCAGGGGCAGATAATAAAGCCTGCGGTTGCTGATTTGTTAATAGTTAAAGAGCTGTCCAAGTCAAAGACAGTGTTGGCATTTTGAATTGGCATGTGGTTCTACTATATAGTATGTTCTCCAGGGGAGGGAAGGCAATGGTTTTCTTTTCTTTCTTTCTTTTTTTTTTTTAAGATTTTATTTATTTATTTATTTGACAGAGAGAGAGAGAGAGAGCGTGCACAAGCAGGGGGAGGGGCAGAGGGAGAGGGAGAAGCAGGCTCCCCACTGAGCAGGGAGCCCGATACGGGGCTCGATCCCAGGACCCCGGGATCATGACCTGAGCCAAAGGCAGACGCTTAACCAACTGAGCCACTCAGGCGCCCCAAGGCAGTGGTTTTCATGAGAGTTCTATTTTGTTTTTGAGGAGCGTGTTTGATGCATACATGTGCAGTATGAGTAAGAAGCAGCCTCTGTCCCCCAACAGTTTGTATGATGGTTGGAGGGAGAATTTAAAAAAATCACTAGAGCGGGGCTCTAAAATCACCACTTGGGGCTCCCTGCTTCTCCCTCTCCCTCTCCTCTGTGCTCTCTCTTTCTCTCTCAAATAAATAAATAAAATCTTAAAAAAAAAAAAATCACTAGAGCAAGGAGAAGCCCCCAGGGAAGGAGGGCTTAACTGAGGCTTGACAAATTGGTTTCTACCAAGAAAGAGAAAAAGTAGCCATTGCAGATAGAAGGAACGGCTGAAACACCCCCGAGAACGTGGGGACACCCCGGCGGTCTTCTGAGGAGACAGACCAGTCTTCAGCGTGCTCAGGGTTCTGCTGGATGTAGCTGGAAAACGCGTTGCATGGAGGCTGTAGAACATAGTGGGTGCGGGTGCAGGTTTCCGGGGGGCACAGACCTGAGTCTGGCTTTGAATTCTGCCTGTGTCACTGACCTTTCTGACCCTGGCAAAGAACTGGGCCTCCAGCAGCCTCTGCCGTCAGAACTTACTGATAGTGATGTCATGAGAATGAAATCACAGGACATAACACACTCCAAGCACTTAGCACAGTATATAGCTCAAGACCAGGCCCGGATGAAACACCAGCTATGGTTACCGCCAGGCCAGTGCCTATGTGAACTCTGCAGTCAAAGCCTCAGATGCCTCCTCTCGGTTTCTTCAGGCTCAGGGTTTGTCAGACCTTTTCATAAAATGCCGGGTAGTTTTCAGCCCATATGGTCTCTGTTGCAGCTACTCACTGCTACCCTTGTAGCTCCAATCCATCCAAATAGGAGAGCGGCTGTGCTCCCATAAACCTTTACTTACAAAGGCAGGCTGCATTTAGCAGGCCGTACTTTGGATATGTGCCTGCCTGCGTGCATAAGAAGTCCTCATCTGGGCGCCTGGGTGGCTCAGTTGGTTAACCAGCTGCTTTCGGTTCAGGTCATGATCCCAGGGTCCTGGGATGGAGCCCCAGATCGGGCTCCCTGCTCCTGGGGGAGCCTGCTTCTCCCTCTCCCACTCCCCCTACTTGTGTTCCCTTCTTGCTATCTCCCTCTGTCAAATAAATAAATAAAATCTTAAAAAGGGGGGGTGGGTAGGCTACGGTCATCAGGGTAGGCTGCAGGTCACCTTCAG